ACCAAGATGAAATTCAGTGACAAATATCCTATATGTATCTTTCCCATTTATGTCGAGTTGAATAGCTTGTATAAAGTCCTCCTATGACATCAGTTAAAAGAAGCAACCTGAAAAGTAATAGTTTAAAGAACTTTTTCCCCACTTAAAATGCCATTACATCAGAAATGAAGCACATGTGAACTTTTGCAGATATTCTTTTCAAAATAAGCCAAATAATTTATACATCATTAGAAGTATGTCCTAAAATCATCTATATTTTATTACTTCAACTAAAGGAAGTTACACCGCATTTAAATATATATTACACAGTCAGCCACTAAGGAAGTATTTCCTTGATGCACCATGGTTAAAGCTATTCCAATAGCAATGTTGATAGCTAATAATGGAAATGACTGTTTCCTTTTCGCATTTCTTTCTACAGTTGTTGCTATCTAACAAAGTGACTACTTACCTTTACTTTCAGGTATATGATGAAAAGAAAGCATTAACCTAAGGTATTTGTAGAGTTTGGAGACCCAGAGGACTAACTATTCCTATCATAATGTCAATGTGAATAATCTTATAAAAAATCTAGAATAGAAAGATCAAAGCTGGAGCTGGATCTGGAATAAGATATATGATTATTTAATATTGCTCCATATCAAAGAAAAAGTGGTAAGTACCTGATCAATCAATCGGTATTTTTTAAGCTGGGATGAAATTCTTGGCAAGATCTGAGACAAACATTAAATTATGTTGATTATAGAAGTAACAGTTATGTGAAGCAATACTCACAAAAGAAAGAAAGCTCAATGATTCAATGGATAGCTTTGATTGGTAAATTTTTGAAAATGACACAGAGAAAGCAAATACTCAGCAGTAAGAGCAATGTATCCAGAACAGTTGAACTTGTAAGTACATTTTTAATTCATCCAAAGAAATAGTAAAAGGTATAATACCAAATAGAAAAAAATGATAAGAGATGAAGGACAGGAAATAAAATAAAATAAAACAAAAGCAGTATTTGATAAATATTGGTTGAGGTGAATGTTTCTGCTATGGTTAAAAAATAATGCTTTTTCCCTTTGCTTTTGTGTACGTCCTTTGTTAAGAATGAGATACTTTTTTCAATGTGGGAATGGAAACATGATTCTCACCAAAACCTATTTCTGCTCAAGAATTTTCCAAATGGAACTCTATTTTGAGGTTTTTAGAGACAACGAACTGAAAACTAATATCCTTTACAAACCAGAAATAATCCACTGAAATACATCTTAATCTTAGTCCATTTTTTTCTCTCTGTGCTCCTTGACATTTATAGTTTGTGCTTCCCAATCAGTTGCATTTTCAGTTATCAGAGAAGTGCCATAGAAGTAGCACAAATTATTGATATTTCTTTACTTTTAAAATCTAATTTTGAAATTCAATTGTCTTAATGTATATTGAAAATTGCAATTTGTAAAATTCAAATTTTATCATGTGTATTCATATACTTGTGATTATGCGTATTGGATTGTGTACATACAAGCTAAGTTCTTCTGCAAATTGGACTGTCATCCAGATGCTGAATGTCTTATTACTTACAGTCTCAAAATAATCGTAGAGCCAGACAATACTTGGTAGGTTAACAACGAAGGTCATGGAAAAGATATACAGATACCATGACATGTCTATACCTAGCAACAGTTTGCTAGCAATGGTATTCCCTTGACATTCTATGGAAGCATAAGATAGGATTTTGATGAAGCTTTTGAATATTGATATTGATGCCTGAGAATACTATGGAGACAAAAACAACAACAAAGGGAACATAGAACAAATTAATCTATAGTTCCCACTCATGGCATAAATGACCAAATTATTAAATTTTGGACACAATTTGTGAAGGCTAGTCTCTTGATAAATCTATAATGAGAAAGATAGAAGGAAAGAGCAGAAGAGGTGACTGTACTAAGGTAGATGGACTCATTTACAATGGCAACTGATAAACCACTGGAAGATGTGAAGTCCACATTGGGAGAAGATCATCTAGCTGCATCATCTGATCTAGCAGAAAGTCTATCTATGTGGTTACTACTAATAGTTGATACCAATTTGATGGAATATAATCAATATTCATGCACATTAAAGCGTTAATGACAATCAAATTGGATGAGGAGAGTACTAAATGAAATGTATTTAAAGTTTGATCCAAATAGTAACTGAAACAAATACCTTTTTCCAGCAAGGCAAATGAGAAAAAAAATCCAAATTAAGGAAATAGAAAGATTATCAAGAGGCATGACAGTGGCATAAAGTGGATTTCAGAAAGAAAAATTAACCATGGACCTAGAAATAAAGGATGCTGTAGAAGAAAAAAGATGCAATATGTATAAATATTAGAAATGTTAGAAGGTTCAAAACCAGGAATAAGAAATACCAAATTATTTAAACTTTTAATTTACTATTGCAATAAAAAGAACCTGTGTATACAGCAGAAATGCATGAGTTCTATATATAATGCTTATAAAGTTTCATTCTAAGATCCTAAGTCCATTCCAATTCCATATTAAAAGAGAAAGCTATTAGTTAAATTATAGATCTTTAGAACACTTTTACATTGCATGCCAAGGACATTGCATTTCAACAATTCCTCATCTTTTATAGCAGATTTTCATATTTTCACAGCAAAGGCAGAATAAAACAATGAATATCAAAGTCATGGGAACTCGTCATGACAATTTAAATATTATTTGAAAAAAGTGCAAATTAAAGCATCTGATGGTGGTACTTCAGTACTCATCATTAATTGGTTCTGGGAGGCATGATTGAGTACCAAAAATGAAGAGTACCAAACAAAATTTTCCCACAAGGAATAATGTAATGAGGCAGCCAACACCAACAAATTCTACTTTGTGCATTGAGTACCAATGCTAGGACAAAATTTTCACATCAATTGTGTTGAGTATCAAGTTTGATGAGTTTCAAAGCAATTGAATACCACACTACCTCTGTAGAAGCAAATGTAGCTATATTCCTCATATTAAAATGTAGAACACAATTGGGGTTAGGGTTAGTTATCTCTTAAAGCCTTAATGCTACATAGAATCTGACACAAGACATATACAATGTTAATCTTGATCGGATTTTATGGAATGAGTTTCAACTTGTCTCTCCTGAGGAAGTGAACAAGGCCATGGGAGCGGTGAGCGCCTCCACCTGTTTATTAGATCTGTGTCCCTCCTGGCTGGTCTCGGCCAGCAGGGAGGTGACGCGTGGCTGGCTCCAGGGGATTATGAACACCTCTCTTCGGGAGGGATCCTCCCCGCACCACCTAAAGGATGCGGTGGTGAGACCCCTCCGCAAGAAACCTTCCCTGGATCCAGCCATTTTGAACAACTATCACCCAGTCTCCAACCTCCC